ATTCGCTTATAATGGGCCAACCAATTAAAACAACCAACTCTGGTTAGGCGGGTCCAAACTACATAGTAAATTGTATTTTTTTATTTGTATTATCTCGTGCTTTGTAGTTGAATGAATATGAAATATGAAAAATTGATGAAATGAAATGAGTAAAAGTTTATACTCTCAGGTTCTTCAGAATTTTTTGAATCATTTCAGTCTGGTATTTTTTTAATCAAACCTAATGGTGCGAAATGGAATTTAAAAAGCTTATCGAAACGAATTTAACACTCTAATTTTCTATAAATCTTTATATCTTTATTTATCAAAAAATCCTATTTTGTGGCTATGTGTTCAGTTCCTTAAATAAATGCCGCAATCAGTTTTACTTTTGAAAATGTTATGATAAAGTAAATAATTATAATCATATACAATACATGTATAGTGTTATGAATTTATTAACAAATATTTACAATTTTTATATACATAGAATGAATGATAAATATTTAATAGAAGAATAAAAATTATATAATTATACCTCAAGGGTTAATTTAGGATCAAAAATATTCACACATTTCATAAATAATCAAGTCATTTAACATTGAAGACGACATCACTACGTCTGTTAACATTTTTAACACTTCGTTTTGTATTTTTATTTTCAGATCTTCACAACTTATCAAATGTTTAGTTTAATTTAAAAATATCAAATTAGATCATTGATGCATGCTGTTTCTCCTTTAAAACTGGTTTCACGGTGTATGTTTCAGGATATTAGGTTTGGAAACAAAATTCTAAAATTTGGACCAAATAAATTCTATAATTGCAAATCTGCAATTATGTGTTTAAAACTCGCAAAATAATCCTGTGCAAGATGCACTGCAGTTCGGTTATATTCCAAGCTGTATAGTTTTAATGTTGGAGCCGGTCAAGGTTTATATTGAACCTGGAACCTGGATCCTGGAACTAGAACCTAAATAAGGTTCCACTGCAGCAAAGCATTATCCTTTCCTCCTGCGGAAATAAGTTTACTACTATCGGTCATCCAGGCAACCTTTGTGACCGGACTACTGTGCCCGGTGTAGGAATGGTTCAAACTTTTAGGTTGAGATGCGGGATACGTATAGATCCGAACCCGTCCTGACGAGTCTCCGCTGGCAAGCAACTCTCTCTCCGGATTCCTTGACGTTGAACCAACATCAGGAGCATCCTGGTTCTCTCCCCATACACCCAGGCTTCCCCAGCTCAGGGGACAATCATTAGTAACCCAACCTATCTCTCGGATTGTCTCCACGTCCCGGAGTGATCTGCAGACCGCTGCGCTCCAATACAAGATCTCGTACTCTGTGGAGTTAGATCGGAGAAACTGTGAGTCCTCAGACCAATCCAGGTTCGTTACATACCCGGAGTGTCCCATACAGCGTCCCAATCTATTGAACTTCCTGTAGTTGTCCCGCACCTGCAATATACAACGTGGGTTAGATAATTAACTTCCGGTCACGTGATTTCATTTACGACAGTTTAAAATATTTTCGTCACAATGGTTTAGTTTGAACAAAATGTTTTAAATTCAAGGGCGTACACAGGAGGGGGGGGGGCAAGGGGCAGTGTCCCCCTAGAACTCAATGGGTACCCATGAGTTTCCTCACTAAAATTCAGCTTTATAATATAGATTACAATGTACTCCTACTTTTTTTCGCAACAGAAACTTTTACAAGTCATAATCATTTTTTGTACCTTTTTGCTTTTTATCTCATAGAATTTAAGTTCAAGTGGAGTTTATCATTTTCAAAAATGTCAATTACTATCTCTAGTTTAAATACTAATTATTACTAACATAATAGATTTATTTCTGTATACGCCCTTGGTTTTAATCTTATTTTAATTAAATCATAAATGAAAATTTGAAATTAAATCATTATTCCAGATTATCTTATTTTAAACTCATAGTGAAAATACTGTCATATGGCTAGCACACAAGATGGTATTATCTCCAGTGCCAAAACGGACCCATAAAGAAGGTTAAATTATCCCCTTGGTCCCCTAACCTTACATTCCACTAGTAATCTCTCTTTCAAAAATAATGAATCCAACCTGATACATGTAAATAGCATTGTCTCTGGAACCCAGAGCAAGGAGGTTTCCATCCGGAGAGAATTTAACCACAAAAACCGGCTCCGATCCGTCCTGGTGAACTCCGAACACCTCCCGGGTGTTCACGTCCAGGACGACCCACTTCCCGGTGACGGTCCCAACCACGATGACCTCTCCGTCTGGGGAGAAGGTGGCGGACTGGGCCTGTTCTCCGACATCGTTGCTCCACACTACACTATGGGAGAGGGTATCCCAGAGATGAATCATCCTGAAATACAAATTTGATTAATTTAAATCAAATCTGACAAATCAAATCTGCAGCAGGGTTTCCCTTTGCGTCGTATGTAATTGAATGGGGTATTAAGGTGCGAGTCGAGTCATCGGAAGTTATGAATTTTTAATACACAGTGATCCCATAAAACTATGGAGTTAGAAGGTGACTATAAGACTTAAAATATTTTCTTTGATAGTCCAATAAAAATGAAACACAGACATTTTGCAGCGGTTTTCATGTTATTGGTAACCTATTTACTTTATGACGCATCTAGGGTATAAGCTTAGATGTCGTCTTATTATTCCACAGTTATATGGGCCTCATTCTAAATTTCCAAAAGAAAAATTTTCATTTTAACAAATAACACATATTTTAATTCCAATCATCTGAAAATAGTTTAAAAGAAAAAAAATATTTCTAGGGATAAAGGGATTGAATTATTTTCTTTTTAGACACTTCACAAAACAGGAAAGTTTAAGCTCTGCCACAAACTTAAATTTTCTAATCCCTGTATCTTTGCAAACGGATGGTGTAAACCTTAGATATTTTAAACTATTTAATAATTTAAAATATCAAATGTCTACGACATTGGGTTAAAGGGGTTAAAAAATCTGAGTTAGTGGCCAGAGCTCAGATTCTTTAATACTATACTAATAATAATACTATAATACTTGAGCTAGAAAGTTAAAGTGAAGAAAAAACGAGTTAGTTTTTTGATTTCAAAATCCAGGCTTGGCTGAATTGTTTCACCTTCTAGCCCAATGTTATTACTTGAAAATTCAGCAGTTTTCTAAAAAGCAAATTCAGCACTTTTTGAAATATCCATCATTGTAAAACTCTAAAATATTGGTTTTAAAGCTACCCCCCCCCCCTCTCCTCCCCGTTCTCTTTCGATATAAGTTTTGTAATTAAACAAAGAAGAGAATCTAAGAATTTCAAACAAAGAAATTGAGTATTTGCCACAAACTATGATTTCATAATCCCTATATCTTTACAACCCTATATTGTAGACCTTAGACATTTCAAACTATGAAATCTGTTAGATCAAATAATCTAAGTTTGAAATATCAAAGGTTTCCACCATTAGGTTGTATAGATATAGGGATAAGAAAATTTGAGTTTCCGGTAAAAACTCAATTCCTTTAAACATGTGTTTTTGAATTACTTGACTTAGAACATATTTTCAATAAATAAAGGATGACAAATTATAAATGTATTTTTTAAAAATTATTCCGCGGATTTTTGCAAAACTTATTTATACCGCGAAACAATTTTCGGTTAATTGTTAAATATTGAATTAATGAATCAAGTGTTTTGGAAGTTAAAATTTATTTGTTTAAAACCTAAATTTAGATATTTCCAACTACAATTCTATTAGACCAAGGGTTAAGGTTGTTAAAATATAGGGATTTAAAAATTTGTATTCTTGGCAAAGAATGAATTCTTTTATATATTTATTTGCAACTACCCCCCACCTCCCCTGAAAAATGGTGTTCTTGTATTCTCCATCTAAAAACATTAACATAATATTGTGAAGTTTCTGAACAAGTTTCTTTGATAGAATAATAGAGAACTGGACCAGATCGTGATTAATATTAACCAAAACTCAATGAAGTTCCTAGTTTTCAAATATTTTATTTTTCAGGTTTTTTATCTTTATTTATTTTTATTTTATTCTGGCAGATTTAACACGAAAGAATCAAGAACCATGAAACAATAAAATATTTGTATAAAAAATATTCGTAAATGTACTTTTATCAAAACATTAAAGTTGTTTTTCAGCCTTAATATTCCTCAGCTTTTGTATATATTTTATATATGAGGTGTATGGTGGAAATAAAAAGTTTTATAATGTCAGGGTGAGAAATATTAAACTTTAAACAAAAATTTTAACTTTGGAAAAGATTTAGAAGAAATTGTGTAAACACATTTCTTCAAGAATAAAAACAATTGTTTTAAAATGAAAAATCGAAGAAAATAACAGAAGTCAAGAATTCTTGATTTTTCAGAAATCTCAAATTTTCCAATAACATTCAAAGTCACGATTCTTGCCTGACTTTTATAATTTCAAATTTAATGTCAAATGCAACGGGAAATCAAGGGCGTATACAGGGTGGGAAATATATAATTTAACGCAGGAACAAGAGCATAAAGTGACTGTTTATGTAATTTCAAGTGAGCCTCCATTTACAGGGTTACATAGCTGATTCACAACGTTTTGCTTTCAATCAATATCTCAGTAATAATGAGGAAGATATTCGTCGTTATTATCTCGTAAATCTTTGTTCTCCTTGTCTCTGATGCATATATTCAAGAAAAAACGGAATTAAAAATGATAATTTTTCAGATGAAAAAGAAAGATTATTACTTTTGCTTTTGCAAGGTTAAAAAATATTTATGAATGAGGTTACATCTCTTTAAATGATACAAAGTAACAAACTCTGATTTTTAATCACTTTATCTTTGCGACCTGATGTCGTAAACTTTTAACAAATTAAAACTATAATTTCTGTAAGATCAAATATTCTAAGTTTGAAATATCAAGGGTTTACACTATAAGGTTGCAAAGATAAAGGGATTAGAAAATTTAGTTTGTTCAAGAATTCAGTTCCTTATGAACGTCCACATATTGGCAGGCTTCTCTTTTTCTAAGGAGTTTTTAATCTAGTAAAAAATATAACAACAGAAAACAAGGCAAAGAGAAAAAGAGAAAGAAAAACATTTTATACTTATATTGAATTGATTTATAGGATATTAAGATAAGAAATGTAAACGTTAACCGAGAAGTAAGTAATAAAATTTTATTAGTTTTTACATAAAATCACCAGATTAGGACAGGACATTGATCTTGTTGTCGAATTGTTCCAAATTCTAGTATTTCATTATCAAAAAACTATTCGTCGTATATCAACTCTCTTTCCCCTTGCCACAAAAAAAAGCATTTTTGCTTGTTAATCTCACCCTTTACTAGGCTTTTAGTGTATACTGCAGTAATCTTTAGTACACTGAGTACTGACCGGAGAAAAAGTGATTTATAGTGGAGAGTGATCAAGCTCGGAAACTAGATGAAATTGGTCAAATATATGAATTATTAATGTTAGAATTAAATAGGATCAATATCATCTTCTAGATATGTTTATATATATATATGTTCGATATGTCTGGCCAAACGGCTAAACCAAGTCGGCTAAACAAAATTTGGAAATATTTGAAATTCCACGGGCAACACTTAGCAGCTAAAATCAACGTTTAATATCAAGCGCGGGTAAACGGGTGGAGTAACTAATATAAACCTTGGCAACACCGGGTACTCCAGCTATAATATTTAACATATATCACAGATCACTGCAAGGCATGAAAACTCTTTGTATAATAAAAAAAATATGAAGTTAAATACAGAAATGATTAAGAATCAAGATAAAGAACAAGAATCAAGATAAAGAACAAGAATCAAGATAAAGAAAAAGAATCAAGAAAAAGAACAAAAAATAAGATTAAAAAACAAGAATCAAGATAAAGAACAAAAATTAAGATAAAGAACAAGAATCAAGAAAAAGAACAAAAATTAAGATAAAGAACAAGAATCAAGATAAAGAACAAGAATCAAAAAAAAAATTAAGATAAAGAACAACAAAAAGAAAAAGAAAAAAAACATCAAGGAGAACAAAATCAGTATCACGAAAACAAAAATCAAGAAAAAAGAAGAAAAAAACAAGATAGAAAGAAAAAAACCCAAGCAAGAAACAATTCAAGCTGAAAAGAAAAATTACAGAAAAGAAAAAAAGCCAAAAAAAGCGAAGACTAAAAAGAAGAAAAACAAAGTCAAAATATAGTGACATAAGTTAGGTCTATCAAAATGAAAAAAAGAAAATATTTCGTAATGTTGGATTGATATTGTTTAATTAAAAAGTATTATAAGTTTTATTACTGCCCTGAAAGCCTAGTATTTGTATATATTTGTAGTTCTATGGAAAATATGAAAACCGAGAGAATTTATAAAATGCATTTCGTTAAATTCAAACATGAATACACAAATTAATCTGTGGTTTGTGCTTCAAGTTCATAGAACATATTTACATTTACAGGAAGCAAAGAGGAAGAGAGGGGGGGGGGGAATAAAATAAAAGATAAAATGTTTAAATAGTAATAGAACTGATTAATCGCCTCAAAATCTAATTTTTAAAACCTTATATTTTTCAACCTGATGGTGCCTTAGGCTCTTCAAGATATAGCATAATTCATGTCTAGAAATTAAAAAGGTGTACGGCATCAGGTTGCAAAGATATATGGATTAAAAAACAAGAGAATAGGGTTATACCAAATAATTAAATTGACACTGATTAAACTCTTGAGGGTAAATTGGGAAGGAATTTACAGTGTACACAGTTATAATACACACAAGCATAAGACCCTTGAACTTTTAATTTTTTTACATCTCACCACTTAATCCCCCTTCTTATCCTCACCATTATATCCAAAGATTTTCCTCAGTTTTTATCCAAATATAAACCCAACCAACCGTTTCAAACACTTCTTTAGAGTGTACAGTGAAAAGAGAAGAAAATCTAACCTGTCATGTCCTGCTGAGATGAACTGTGGATTGCTAGGACTAGTAGAGAGAGCCCAAACCTCTCCTGTGTGTCCGACCATAATCTCCTGGAAGTTCAGATCAAAGTTTCCTGTGAGAATACTGTTCTTAGTGGTTCCTATCAGCAGTTGGCTTCCCTTCCCCTGAGAAATTATCCGAATGGATCCAAGATGCTCCGGGAGCTGAGCTTCAACTCCAACCTTCCTATACATTGTATCAAACTTAACAATTCTGCTATCCTTTCCTCCTCCGGTGATGATAGATCCATCCTTGAGAACACAGATGGAGAAGATAGGTCCGTCGTGGATCTTTCTCATCACCTTGGTCACAGCGTTGTACCCTCGCCCCCAGATAAACACGTTCCCGTTGGAATCTCCGGTTATAACGTCACCAGTGTACGAGAACGCGAGACATGTCACATACTTTGGTTTATCCCTCTGGTCAAAGATCCCGGTTTTACGAGACAGGGTGAGCGTGGTTGAGTCGAGCTGCCAGAAATTGACGAAACCCTTCCCAACAATAACAATCGTCCGTCCGTCCAGAGGATGAAATTCGGCCGCAACTACGGTTTCTGTTGAACATTTAGTTTCTGTAATCTTGTGTCCCCGCTCACTCCTCTGCCAATCCCAGACGGAGATATTATGTTCTCCTTCATCAACTGCAACCAGGAGGTTTCCTCCGTCAGCTTTGGAGAAGGATAAGCAACAAATTGATCTCTCAAAATCGCTCATTCCTAAAACGTGCATGGTTTGGAGAGAAACAGAGTTCCAAACCCTTATATGAGGTCTGTCAAGGCCTGCCGCCTGCCCTGAAGCAATCAGGAGCTTGTTAGGATGGACACTCATGCATTTAATATCCTGTGTGTGTCCTAGATAATGCCTTTGGTTTTGTTCTTCGACATTGTACAGGACCACAACTGCAGCTATAAAATAAACCATTTCTCCTGTTGGTAAAAGATGCAGGTTTGCTCTTGCATCTCTGCCTCTGTATCCGTATACCCACTCAAGCTTGAGTTTCTGAGCCGGAGCAGGGTTTACCTTTGCCAGGTTGAAACTATCCAACTGAGATGCTGCACAGATTAGACTTACTCCTCTCCCTCTCAGGTGAAACTTTAATATTCCGTCCTCAGGGCTGTAATTAGCATCTTTGGTTCCGTGTCTTGTGTGTCGGTTTAGGTTCTGCTGAGAGCCAAAAGGAGATCTTAGACTGGCAAGAGATCCCGCGTTTAAACCTCGTCTACTTATCTGGTTTGGACCCGGAGAAAGCTCCCTGAAATCACTTGTAGAACTCCACTTCTTATGTAGACCTGTAGATGCAGATGACGGTCTCTGGGGTGTACTAAGTCTCTGAACCCCTGGGGAGGGATGACGAACTGGATGTGTGGTGGGGGAGGGGGAGGGGGCTGGGGACATGGAATTGGAAGATTGTCCGTCATTGTGAAGGGAGTTTGTGGATTGATACAGGCTGGTTTTAGATCCAACCTTATCCCTGTTGGATGCATAAGACGCTCTTCTATTAATCGCTTCATGAGCTGCTCGCGCAACACTGTTAAAATCATTTGATGAGTAAGAACCCGACATAGGTCGTCTTTGAGGAGTTTTCTGAGTTCCATCTGTTCTTGTCCTGGACGGATAACTATTCACTTGAACATGACTCTTGTTAGTTTCAAGACTGTTTATTCTCCGGAGACAGTCTGCCAGGGTTGCTCTGAGACAGGTTATCTCGTCGTTCTGATCATGAACCCTCTTCTCTAGATCTGCAACCCTGTCACGCAACATCTCATTCTCATTTTCTATCATATCATCACTAGCCGACATACTGGCTGTTGTGACGGATACAGGGGAGGTCGGCATAATCAAAAGACCTCCAGGAGCTTGACCTTCGGAAGATGGACCGACATCGCCTCCGATAACCGAGGACATCCCACTGTCCTCACTGGCAGCCTCGTTATAGTTCTCGTCTTGAACAAGATTAGCGTTGTCGTCAGGGTGTTGACAGGTTAGCCCTCCTCCTTCATCTATTGTTGGAACTGGTAGCTCCATATTGTTCCACCCTGATACTATTGCAACCCTGCTCTTTAAACCTGACTCCGGTTAGCAGTAGGATATGTTTTATATTCACTTGATAGACAATGTTTGATGTATATAAACTATGCACAGCTGAGAAGCCTGACAGAAACTATTCTTTACTCCGGGTCCTGCAGCTAGCTTTATGTTAATTTCTGATACAAGAGCACGGAAGAGCCGGGATAAATTCAACTTATCGTTATTAATATATGATTCATCACTAATTGAGTTTTGATGATGTATGATCACGTTCTTCACAACACATACTCAAATTCCATTGTTACTGATTCCAACCTTGTAACCTGACACTTTATATTCAACTAGGTTCAGCAGTTAAATTATTATTTCACAAGCTCCTCTGCACTGCTCAAACGTTTCACGAGAATTGAGTTGTATCTCATTCTAATCCTCCAGGTTTAATTCTATTCACGGTCTCTCCAGATGACGTTGTTGATACTGCTCCGAGGAGGGGAGGGGAGGGGGGGGAGGGTTAAGTGACCCCATGAAATCTTGATTTTCACCGTCTGCTCGTAATAACCAGGATTGGTGTGGATGGATCTGTATCACGTGACTTCTTGTTATCTACAGGAAGATAGTGAATGCATAGAAAGTAACTGTACCGAGGTGGACGGCAGGGTTCGGACTGGAAGGAAGTGGCAGGTAGAGTTAGGTATTATGCCGGTGCAGGACAAGACCCGGAGCCACCTGGACACACCTGCTCGTACCAGGAAACTGAGATGAAGGAGAGAGAGAGGGGATATCGGAACCAAGCTTCGGTCTAAACCGTGAGAAACGATGATTATTTCAACCCCTGAGTTTCCTTCTAATGAATACTCAGGATCAGGGTAGGGTTTGAATCTCTGAAGGTATCAGATATCCCTCGGATACTCCTAAGCAATCTACTCTTCTTAGAGTGCTCCGCCCTTGTTGAATGGTAAACTACTGTTGACACAATGATAACGAAATATTTATAGAGAACATATTGATCAATAAACATCCTTTGTATAATGCAGGGCGGGCCTTGCTTAAACTACTTTTATTTATTTTTAGAGTGACAAGTCAAGGACTAACCCCCCCCCTCCCCCTCCCTGCTTTACACATTCTCTCCTATTTTCTCCCCTACTCTCTTCAATATTTTCTTTCCTATTTTCTCCCTACTCTCTTCAATATTCTCTTTCCTATTTTTCCCCTATTCTCTTTTACATTCTTTTTCTGTTTTCTCCTCTACTCTTATCGATATTCTCTTTCCTATTTTCCCCCCTACTCTCTTCTACATTTTTTCCTATTTTCTCCTCTACTCTCTTCAATATTCTCTCCTATCTTCTTCTTTACTTTCTTCTATATTCTTTCCTACTTTATCCCCTGCTTTATTCTATATTCTCTCCTACTTTCTCCCCTACTCTCTTCTATATTCTCTTTTCTACTTTCTCCCCTACTCTCTTCTATATTCTCTCCTACTTTCTCCCCTACTCTCTTCTACATTCTCTCCTACTTTCTCCCCTAATCTCTTTTATATTCTATCCTACTGTCTCCCCTACTCTCTTCTATATTCTATCCTACTTTCTCCCCTACTATCTTCTCTATTCTCTCCTACTTTCTCTCCATCTCTGTTTTTTTCTCTCCTACTTTCTCCACTGCCTGTTTTCCCTACTCGTGTACTTTTGTTACCTCCTACCCCTGTCCCCCCCCCCTTCTTCCCTTTAATTATGTCGCTCTCCTCTTTTGTTGAATTGTCGTCATAGAAAATATTTCTTTAAATTTTATGATTTATAAATGGAATGTGAAAAATAGCAAGGTCGACTTTAGCTTTTTATGATAGAGAACTTGCTAGGGATTTATGATACAGAAATACGAAACAAATTCGCCGATACAGTCCATCTGTTCTTGTCCTGGACGGATAACTATTCAATTGAACATGACTCTTGTTAGTTTCAAGACTGTTTATTCTCCGGAGACAGTCCGCCAGGGTTGCTCTGAGACAGGTTATCTCGTCGTTCTGATCATGAACCCTCTTCTCTAGATCTGCAACCCTGTCACGCAACATCTCATTCTCATTTTCTATCATATCATCACTAGCCGACATACTGGCTGTTGTGACGGATACAGGGGAGGTCGGCATAATCAAAAGACCTCCAGGAGCTTGACCTTCGGAAGATGGACCGACATCGCCTCCGATAACCGAGGACATCCCACTGTCCTCACTGGCAGCCTCGTTATAGTTCTCGTCTTGAACAAGATTAGCGTTGTCGTCAGGGTGTTGACAGGTTAGCCCTCCTCCTTCATCTATTGTTGGAACTGGTAGCTCCATGTTGTTCCACCCTGATATTATTGTAACCCTGCTCTTTAAAACTGACTCCGGTTAGCAGTAGGATATGTTTTATATTCACTTGATAGACAATGTTTGATGTATATAAACTATGCACAGCTGAGAAGCCTGACAGAAACTATTCTTTACTCCGGGTGTTGCAGCTAGCTTTATGTTAATTTCTGATACAAGAGCACGGAAGAGCCGGGATAAATTCAACTTATCGTTATTAATATATGATTCATCACTAATTGAGTTTTGATGATGTATGATCACGTTCTTCACAACACATACTCAAATTCCATTGTTACTGATTCCAACCTTGTAACCTGACACTTTATATTCAACTAGGTTCAGCAGTTAAATTATTATTTCACAAGCTCCTCTGCACTGCTCAAACGTTTCACGAGAATTGAGTTGTATCTCATTCTAATCCTCCAGGTTTAATTCTATTCACGGTCTCTCCAGATGACGTTGTTGATACTGCTCCGATTGCTGAAGCTTACTCAGTAATATTATATTAATTGCTTAATAAGTCAAATTCAAATAATGAATAGTTTTTTTCTTCTGATATTTGTTAATATTTAAACTAAATCATATTTCCTTGAAAACTATTATGTTGCCTGGTATTTATATGTATAAAAAGTAGTAATATTCTGTTATAAGTTGTGATATTCTGAGTGTGGAATTTGGTAGAATCAAATATATTATCAAGTACAATAGGTGGCAACAGAGAAATGGACCAATTATACACGACGTCACAACTGTCAAATATAACAAGGAAATCGAATTTTTCTCACATTAGTTGACATGTTTTCCAAGATTAAATAAAAAAGTTTAAAAACAGGAAAATAAAGAACACACAACATTGCACTTATTTTTCTGTAAGATTATTCTAAAATTATCACTATTATTAATAATTTTGTCGGACACAAAACTGAATTGACACTTGTGACGTAAGAATACAGCTGTACTGAGAGTGTACAAATTCTACGTTGCCATCTATTGTACTAGAATCTATTTGGGTAGAATATGTTCTAAGCTTTGAATAAAAAGTCTAAGTTGAATTAGTTGACTTTTAAACGGAAATTTTAGTTTTCAGACCAAGCTGGGTTCCCAGGCTAATAATATACATAAATTATACATTTTTTACATAAAGTCTTGTGTTAAAACCTAATGGCCTATAAATTAATAAAATTCGACTTCAATACTTATCTATAATATCAAATATCAAAAATGTGAAATTAAAACTGAGATTCGATGGATATTTATTATTTATGCATTTTTCGTGGATTTTCAAAATTTTGATCATCATAATTTTGCGTCCAAATTCTTTACGCCACTAATCTAATGTATATAATCTGCTGCGACATGAAATTTATTTATTCATTATGCACATTAAAACTCTTTAAAGGGACTGTAAACTTAATTTCTAGCGTCCTTTAAACCTGTGTCTGACCAAAAATTAATTGAGTTATTCATTTTTTTAAAGAGAAATTGATTATTTTTTAACTATGGTTTCCCAGGGGTCCAGATAATTCCATTTAATACGATCCCACATGTTGATTGATTAATATTAGGGGGCAGAATTTACACCAGTGTAAACTGTCATTTACACTAGTGTAAACTCTCATTTACACTTACAGTGTTTACCAGGATCGGATTTAATAGCCATAAATTACACTGGTTCAGTTGTAAGTAAGTAAGTAAGTAAGTAAGTAAGTAAGTAATAAGTAGTCATTTATTTATGAAAAATAACAAAAAACATAAAACATTAAGTGTTTAAGGAGAAAATATTTGAAAACCTCCAAAAATAAATATTGTGGGAATATTTCCCCCCAATTCTAAAAAAAATATAAAAAAAAGAAATAAAAGAAAAAGGAAAGGAAAAGGAAAGTTACATATTTATTGTTTACATTATATTACATTATATTTAATATAAACTAGTGGTGGGTGTTAGTATTTTTCGACAAAATAGAAATAAAAATGATAGATTTATTTGTAATGTTTTAAAAAATAAGATAGGTTTTATGTGTTGTGAAAAATGTATAGGTTAAAAATGGGCATTTTTAAGTATCTTTTTAATTCGCGCTGACTTTTGACATCCTTTATGTTCGATTATACTTTTATTCTTTTTAATCTTTTTATTCTTTTCTTTGTAAAATCGTCTTTGCTTTCTTCGATTCTTTTGCAAACATAGCATGTGTTAGAATTAAAACATTTGTTCTGCTGATAATAGTCTTCAATTAAAGAAATTGAGTCTTTGACACAAACTCAAATTTTCTAATACATATATCTCTACAACCAGATAATGTAAACCTTTGATATTTCAAACTTAGATTATTTGATCCATCAGAATTCATGGTTTGAAATAGCTAAGGTCTACGACACTGGGTTGTGAAGATATAGGGAATAAAAAATTCGAGTTTGTGACAAAGACTCAATTCCTTTAGTTTAAAATTCGAAATAAGATTGATATTTGAAAGCTTTGAAAAGTGTCGTTTATTTTCATACCATATTTTAGGGAAATTGTGAGGAGGAAGCAGTCTAATTTTAATAGATTTTACTCTAGGAATATAAAAATCATTTCTGTTTCTAAGATTTGCGTTTTTGATATTTTTTGTAAATTCCCTATAGTAACCAGCAAATCCTAAAATTCCCTATAGTAACCAGCAAATCCTAAAATTCCCTATAGTAACCAGCAAATCCTAAAATTGATGAGAAATCGTTCCCTTTCAATTATATTTTCTTGTGCCTCATGTCAAGCCGTGTCTCATTCCTATTGGCTTGAATTCAAACTTAGAAAATAGAATTATCAGGCTTTGGTTTTTCATGCGTTTAAACATGCCTTCAAAGCATTATCTGGGTTGGCATTTTTTTAACAGCTGAATCTTTCTAAACCATTTAGATGAGATGAATTGTTATCCGTCCCACTGCTATCGTTGACTACAGTTTATTTACAAGTAAGCCTCTCTCCGTGCTTACAATATATAGCTTGTTATATAGCTAGGCTTGTGTCTCAATGTGGCATTAAGAGCACCATATCTTTACCTTCATTTGGAATTGATATATAGCTTGTTGTATAGCTAGGCTGTGTCCCTGTGTGGCATTTAGAGCATTAGATCGTCCACATCATTTGGGATCAATATATAGTTTGTTGTATAGCTAGGCTGTGTCCCTATGTGGCATTTAGAGCATTAGATCGTCCCCATCATTTGGGATCAATATATAGCTTGTTGTATAGCTAGGCTGTGTCCCTGTGTGGCATTTAGAGCATTGAATCGTCCCCATCATTTGGGATTGATAGATAGCTTGTTGTATAGCTAGGCTTGTGTCCCTTGTGTGGCATTCAGAGCACTGTATTAGTAGCTGGATTTTGATAGCTAAGCTTGTGTCCCTGTGTTGCATTTAGAGCCTGGAATTCAGTCATGGTTGAGGTTGATTGCGGACGGATTGTACCTGAGTGGATACGTTCGAGAACTAGTTATGGAGTAGGTGTTTACTACACACATGCATGAACAGGTTAGATTTAACGCAATTTTCATATTTTAAATATTAAATTTAATGCATATTAAAACTTACATAATTGTATAAAAACTTCTTTATTGAATCAGTTGTGAGGTTTCATTCTTACATTTCTTTCTATTTTAATTGTGATTTTATATGTAATGAAGTACAGTACAGTACTGTTACACTCTACACTCTACACTCTACACTCTACACTCTACACTATACACTTTACACTGTGAAGTGTACAGTGACCTTAATATTTTCCATAAAATGTTTTATCTTCATGTCAAATAAATCTCTAAATTTATTACATTAACCTTTCAGTAATAAATAAGCAATGTGAATAAGTCATAAAATATGAAAATTTTCTATTCCAATCCTCAACCTAATTTATTATATTCAATTATTAAAAAGATTCCCAATGTCTGATTCCTATTCAATGCCTGACAAAAAAATGCAATATTAAAACTAAATGATGGACTGCCCCACAGTGTAATCCAATGTCAGATGGAAAATATTCATGAAGAATGAGTCGCGTTTTCAAGCCCTAGAGCCGCCTTCTTTTGCATAATATTCAGTAAATTGTGAAATTCAAACTTCTAGCTCTCCTCTTTATCCTGGATACCCTAGTTCTCCTCTGTATCCTGGATACCCTAGCTCTCCTCTGTATCCTGGATACCCTAGCTCTCCTCTGTATCCTGGATACCCTAGTTCTCCTCTGTATCCTGGATACCCTAGCTCTCCTCTGTATTCTGGATACCCTAGCACTCCTTTGTATACTGGATATCCTAGTTCTCCTCTATATCCTGGATATCCTAGTTCTCCTCTGTATCCTGGATACCCTAGCTCTCCTCTGTATCCTGGATATCCTAGCTCTCCTTTGTATCCTGGATATCCTAGTTCTCCTCTGTATACTGCATACCCTAGTTCTCCTCTGTATTCGGGATATTTTAGCTCTCCTCTGTATCCTTGATATCCTAGCTCTCCTCTATATCCTGTATACCCTAGCTCTCCTCTGTATACTGGATACCATAGTTCTCCTCTGTATTCTGGATATTTTAGCTCTCCTCTGTATCCTTGATATCCTAGCTCTCCTTTGTATCCTGGATATCCTAGTTCTACTCTGTATTCTGGATATCCCAGCTCTCCTCTGATTAATAACAAGAGGATAACAAGCGTTATTTAATCTCGAGATTAAAAAAAGTGGATCAAGCATTAATCCCGATATTAACCATTCAAAAGTTCCCAGCTTTGGATATCCTAGTTCTCCTATGTATCCTAGATATCCTAGTTCTCCTCTGTATCCAGATATCCTAGTTCTCCTTTGTATCCTAGATATCCTAGTTCTCCTCTGTATCCATATATCCTAGTTCTCCTCTGTATGCTGGATATCCTTTCTGGATATACTAGTTCTCCTCTGTATTCATATATCTTAGTTCTCCTCTGTTTGCTGGATATCCTAGTTCTCCTCTGTATCCTGAATATCCTAGTTCTTCTCTGTGTCCTCGATATCCTAGTTCTTCTCTGTATCCTGAATATCCTAGTTCTCCTCTGTATCCTGGATATCCTATTTCTCCTCTGTATCCTGGATATCCTAGTTCTCCTCTGTATCCTGAATATCCTAGTTCTCCTCTGTATCCTGGATATCCTAGTTCTCCTCTGTATCATGGATATCCTAGTTCTCCTCTGTATCCTGAATATCCTAATTCTCCTCTGTATCCTGGATATCCTAGTTCTCCTCTGTATTCTATTTCTCCTCTGTATCCTCGATATCCTAGTTCTCCTCTGTATCATGGATATCCTACTTCTCCTCTGTATCCTGGATATCCTAGTTCTCCTCTGTATCCTCAATATCCTAGTTCTCCTCTGTATCCTAGTTCTCCTCTGTATCCCGGATATCCTATTTCTCCTCTGCATCCTCGATATCCTAGTTCTCCTCTGTATCCTGGATATCCTAGTTCTTCTCTGTATCCTCGATATCCTAGTTCTCCTCTGTATCCTGGATATCCTAGTTCTCCTCTGTTTCCTGAATATCCTAGTTCTCCTCTGTATCCTGGATATCCTAGTTCTCCTCTGTATCCTCGATATCCTAGTTCTCCTCTGTATCCTAGTTCTCCTCTGTATCCTGGATATCCTATTTCTCCTCTGCATCCTCGATATCCTAGTTCTCATCTGTATCCTGGATTTCCTAGTTCTCCTCTGTATCCCGATATCTTTGTTCTCCTCTGTATCCTGGATATCCTAGTTCTCCTCTGTATCCTGAATATCCTAGTTTGCCTCTGTATCCTGGATATCCTAGTTCTCCTCTGTATCCTGGATATCCTAGTTTTCCTCTTTATCCTGAATATCCTAGTTCTCCTCAGTATCCTGAATATCCTAGTTTTCCTCTTTATCCTGAATATCCTAGTTCTCCTCAGTATCCTGAATATCCTAGTTCTCCTCTGTATCCTGGATATCCTAGTTCTCCTCTGTATCCTGGATATCCTAGTTCTCCTCTGTATCCTGGATATCCTAGTTCTCCTGTGTATTGCATAAAAGATGACTAACATTATTTTAGCTTTTTTTCATGACACGAATTGTGTCACATATCTCTACAGACTCAACAGTATAATATCATGTTCAATTATGCAGTACTGGGATATCTTATTTCATTTTCTCTTTTCAAGAGAGCCCACGATAATCTGAGAAATCCGTCCTGTTAAAAGGTTAAAAAAATATTTTTTAAAAACTTAATTATAAACTTAAACCCCTCATTATCCTGAAGGAAATCGATCGTCATTAACGCAATACAATTTTGTTCTTCCTTACACTAAAGAGTGCCATGTCCCGAATCGGTGCCATTAAAAGCTTCATCCAGTAGCTTCTCTTTGAAAAATGGCTATTTATAACTGACTTGCACAATTCTGCTTTAGAAAAGAATTATACAGTTTTCAAATTATAAAAATATTCCATATTTTATATCAGAGCATCGTCGCATCGTTGTGAATATTTAACTTTAACCGTTTACCTACATACACCAGTAAACTCTTCAAAGCTGAAAACTTTAGAATGATATATCCTTATTCCTTAATTACAATTACTCAATCTGAGTATCCAATGGACACACTTTTGATTTTCTTTTGGTTCTTTCTTGGATATAGTAGAGAAAAATCAAAAACCTTTTTTTTAAATTTAGAAAGTCACTCCAGTTTCTGTATTTAATCTTATTTGGCGCACACAGTTTCAAATTTATCGGCTTTATATATGTGACTCTGATTGGTTGAATTTTATACACTTTTCAGGATACAAGAAGATTAGTTAGTCTCGATATTAAGAAAAAGAGAAGATCTCAATATCCACCATTCTAAAGTGTTCAGCTCCAAAAAAGAGTGGATTAAGCAAGAAATCAAAAGTGTCCACAATGGATATTCGGATTAAGCAGTCGGGATTAAAGGTATCCGACTCTAAATTTCCCAGCTTAGTTAAAAAAGTTTCGGTGCAAGATTAACTTTATTTAAAAGTTCTCAACTCAGTTTAAAAAGTTTTAGAATTGTTTTAAATTTTTTTATTTCTTTTAGATTTAATTTGGCCAGAATAGTTCTCATTAACAGTTCTCTTAGTATATGGACTGGATAACGTTCCCTAAACAAAATATCGTTCAAACTTTTTTACTTTTCTAACTGCAGATGCCCTTCAAATAATGCCATATCGATAATCAGGCTACATATATATTTAGACCTACTTCTGGTCATTGGATTCAACATTTTATAGCTATTTTTATAGTCTGTATCAAAAGGAAAAAGATTGTACATTTTTGAGAAATTGCATATATATACACAGACGCTTTCCAAAAATGTACTAACTGTTATAGATTTGTATCACTAGATGTAAAAAAAAAGAGTAAAGCCTCAGTATATTTTGGGTAAAGCAGATGGCAGCACGAACGGGGTTAAAAAGTGTCAAATTTTATTTTCTACCGTTGTGAATCGGCCACTCAATTCCCAAAATGGAGTGGTTACTTAAAATTAGTCCTACTGCGTTAGGTCAAAAAGGTAAAAACCAAAAAAATTTAAATCCTAGAAATTTCAAAAAATTGTTGAAAAAAGTGAAAAAAAAGTGTGCTGCGTTTCAATAATTATGAATTGAAGAACCGGGAATGATTGTGCAAGGTCGTCTTTAAAGCTTATCCTGTGTGGTTCCCCCTGGCCGGATATTTATAAATCCGGAAGTGAAAAGTTATAATAATATTCAGATTATGCAGATTTTGTTCAGTATGGGTTTAAATAAAATAAAAATTGAATTTTTCTTCTAAAATTACAAATACTGTTACATAACATTTTATTGTGCTATATTTTATTTGAGTTTATCAAATGGGCCATTTATCTTTGCAACCTGATTTTGTCAACTTTTTATACTTGAAACTATGAATTCTGTTCTATCAAAATAGAATAATAACATCGAAATTTCTTAGATTGTGGCAAGATTTCCTCCACACCTGAATATGACGTCATTAGCAACAGTTTTTATTTCATTTTCAATAATACTTTTTGAATAGAAATATTTTTTTTAGTTCTGTTCTTTAATGCTTGTTCTATTATTCAAGGGATAAGATGATTTCAAAGTAAAGCTGAACTTGTGATATTGTTAAGCATTTTCTTTCATGTCAAACTAAAGTAATGGAACTGAGTCAAAGTTTCAACATCCTACATATTTGCAACCTGATGGTGTAAACCTTTATTATTTCAATTTTAGACAATTTTAATCTATCATATTTAATACTCTTTTGAATTTATAAATTAACATTTCTCATAGAAAACTAGAGGAAAACTAGAGGAGGAACTATGAGGTCTCAAAGTGGTCTGCATGAACTGACCTTCTCCCTCTGTCTGGTTCAGTGTGGATTTGTCTGAAAATTATCAAAAATAAGACTTTTGTCAGATGCAATCCTTTAAGTTTATTCTTAGGGAAAATAATTATTTATGACAAAAATATTTTTATATAAACTTTGACATTATTCATAATTTACTCATTCGGCTACCACGACTCTACTTTAGGGTGCCTTTGAAAAAAAATCCAGGATGTGCTACTTACTTATCAATAAAAAAATCAATTTCTTAAGTGGCAGGGCAGTGGCACCCTTTCTACTTCAATTTACAGAAAATGTAATTTTTATAGAAATAATATGTTTTTGTTTTTTTAAAATTATTTTCATTAAATCATTTTATTTTTAATTTCTTATTTGTCCATCATTGAAGAAAATGAGTTTATTGTTTTTGCATCTTTTTAATCTAAAAACAACAATTTATATCAAATCTTAATGAACCTTTTAATTACATTCTTTTAGGTTTTAATAAAACCATGAGACTCCTGTAAACAATTCTTCGCATTCCACATAAATATAAAAAAAACCTTTCTAGTGGAAAAATCGGCATAAACACATGAAAACTGATTACAAAATCGTACAACATTTTTCTTGTTGTAGAAATGCAGAATTTCTACAACAAGAAAATTTCCCACTTGTAAAAGTACTTTGGATTCTCGGGGCTTCTGGATTTTTAGAAATCTCGAGACCCCTGGATTCTTGGTACAGGTGGAGGGGGGATAAGGTCTTTTAAAGAAATTTGCCATAGAGGTGTTAAGAGCATGAACACACAAGCTGAAATGAGGGGAATAAATTATTCAAAACAATCAATCAAAAACTTTATTTCTTGTTTAACTTGCTCGTCATTAGTGTGAAAATTCTGAAGTCTTTCTAAAGAACAGACAGAAAATATTTTTAAAATCATCTTTGAAAAAGAACATTTGACACCAGTGTTTCCCAACTTCAAGATCTAGAACTGCTGCGAACTCATCTCCGTATTCTGATTTGAATAGCATTGGAGGGTTATGGAACTCATATGTACTGCTTAATTCTACTCCAGGTTATGATGTGAATAGCCTCGGAAGGAACCTGACTCTTTCTCCGAGTTGTGATGTGAATAGTATTGCACAGATATGTAACCTTGCTCCAGGTTGTGATGTTAATACTACTGGAAAAATTCTAAACCTTGCTCCGGGTTGTGATATGAATAGCGCTGGACGGATCCATTCTTAAATACTCCAACCAGCTCCGGAGATACACCTCTATTAATATGAAAATTATTAAATGGGCGGTAGACGTAATTCAATTTTTTTTTTGAGGGCATGTCTAATTCACAACGGTACCCCCTTAAACCTTTGTCTCATCATCGACGACGGAGAAATCCGTGTTTTTCCAACTAAACATTGTTTGCAAACCCTAAAAAGGATCTGTTGTATACTTTTAGCCCACATTGTGAACTCTGCGCAACTGACTGCACATATTTCAGAAATTCTCGAATTTTCTTTGTTCAACGAATGTTTTTTAAGAAAGAATATTTTCTTTCACTAGGAGGTAATAATTATTTGGGCATAATAAGGATAATTCCGTCACTCTTCATCAGTCAAAAGTTTTAAGGGTACCAACATCGGATAAGGCACCCTAAAAAAGCAGGGTCCATTTGAGGCCTTATTTTTCGATAGATTGTGGGTCAACCTATAAATCTGTGTATTTTGTATAACCTGGAGTAAGCTTGGTTTAATCGAGAGAAATACTCTTCAACTTTTTGATCATCATCATCTCTTAGAATCTTAATAAAAAACATAAATATATTCAATGAGAATTAAAAAAAAATAATATCTTTAATATGCTTTATAATTAATCAAAACAAATATTCATCTGTAAGAAAGATAATTGTTTTTGACTTAAAGAGACTGTAGGCGTTATTTCAATTACCCCTTCATTTGTAGAGTGGTGTCTCCCCTTTACAACACTATCCTTTTGGTTGATTAAGGGATCAGGATTTGTTGAACCTGTTTTATTTTTGAGAAACATTAATATAATGTTTACATTTGAGTTTTGTAAACCGCGCTGGGCATTTATTTTGAATTTTCAAAGGAATATTTGCAACGTCAGCTGTAACACTCCATTTTCCGGCAATTTGAGCACCATTTTAGAGATAAACATACGGGGTTGTTTGCCCTTGAGGAAAAGTAAAAAGTTTAAAGGATACAATTGTAAATCGAGAACTCCCCTTTATTCATTGAGGGTCCCTAGAAATTACGAGTTCAGTCCCTTTAAGAAAAATATTTAAATATTTTTTCCACGATAACTTTATCACAGAGGGAATCCGGAAACAGTGGAATTCCTGTTGTATTCTTTTTCCTTCTAATTATTAAATGTTAGCGACATTTCTTGAGTGAAATAAGTAACAAAGACGACTTTCATTCTACAATTTTATAATTCTCCATGTATTTTGTTTTGTTTGTTTTGCAAATATTCATGTTCAAGAAATTTCTGAACAAGGTGAATTCAAATTTGTGCAAAAAAATCCCTCCCTGGAAATCCATATTTCCCTCCCCCCCCCCCTCTAAGAAAATATTGAACCAGGGAATAAAAACTTGTGACGTACAAAACTGAATATTCTGGTTTAACCATGGCATCAGATAAGATGGGAAAATCTTCAGAAAAATATACATTTTTAGATTAATATTTTCATAAAAGGGGGGACGTATCCCTCGTAGAAGGACGATGCCCCCCCCCTCCCTTTTCTTAATTTACAACCTTACAGTTGTTTTCACACCCGTATACTAAAGTTTAATCTCACTATGCTCCGAAATGTATTTAGCTCACCTCAAGGTTGTTTGTTTAAGTTAAATACTCTGGATGCACTCAAATTTACAGGAAATGTCGTCTTCATTGCAATGGACACTCAAAATCCTCATGTGACAAGCGGAGAAAATTCTTCCGCCCCTCTCTCACCAACAACGTTGTCACTTCATCTTAAGCCATTAATAAGTAACGTAATATGAAGATTTTGAGTGTCCATTATATATGAAGACGACATTTTCCGTACATTGGAGCGTATCCAGAGTATCTAATCCTAATAAACAACCTCATGGCTCACCTTGACTAGAAGTTTGTAGTTGGTCTGTTTATCTGAGTATCCTAGTTTAAGAGTAGGGTTTAACGAGTGAATAATTATATCTCGTTTCTTCCAACCAGGATTCAACTATATAAGAATAACAATTAGATAGAATTTCACACAAAACACGTCAAAACATACTTTTTCCATGCAATTAACAATTCGCTAACTATTTTTAAGCTGAATGGTCTCACTAATTTAAACCTGTCAAAAAGGAAAAAAATCTTATAAAAGTTGTTTAGGAACGATTTAAGTCATAACGATGCCACTTTAAAAAATAATAATAATATGTTTGTGATGTAAATTTAGAATTATAACAAGAAGCTGCTGAAACAAAACACGTGTAAATAATAAATTGATCAATTTTGTTATGCTGATAAAAAAAATTTTCATGATCTTTTTGTACATTTTATTGCACCCCCACCCTTGGCTTAATGACATAAAAGCAATACTTTTTTATCTCGATCATTTTTATTTCTTTTTTATCTCGATCAATTTCATTTTTAGTATAGAATTTATGAATAACAAGAGTAGTTGAACTATAGCAACAGCTAGTTCTCTTGTTAGTTAGAACCATCTCTCTGGTTCAACTTATTCCGGCGACACCCTAAGTTTTGACATTTCCAAAATGTAGTATTGCCGTTGTTGTGCTCTTCAAGTTACCGGAAATGATTTCGGAACCAAAAATCCAGATTTCGGAACCAAAAGACGTGCCGCAGGCGAAAACTTTCTGTAAGATAGATGTTTTTTTTCTGTTTTGCACTAGGTTTTCTTTCCCTTAAGTGCTATTGAGAAGCTATTCTGAAATCTCAAGGGGGGGGGGGTACAAAGGTCCTGCCGCCCCCTGTATCCGCCCCTGGGACCAGGAGACTATTGTGATTACTGTTAAATTTTAAAAGAATCATACTTGTAAAATAAGGTTTACGAAAAAATGCCGCAAATTATTTTAAAGAATAAAGACTATATTTAAGTCGTCTTTGCACTCTGTACCTGCTTGAGTAGCTTGGCAACATCTTTATCTATCTCCTCCCTTTCTCGTTCAAGTTCAATTCGTCTTTCAATTATTTGCATTTTTGCATCTTGAGATAAATATTAAAATTCTCATATTTCAGAAAATATAAAATATAAAAAATGTTTCGATATTTTAAAGATAAACCTTATAAAGATGGACATTTCATATATATAGAACATTTCATATATATAGAACATTTCATATATAAAACATTTCATATATATAGAACATTTCATAAATGAGACATTTCGGAGATGGGACATCTCATAGATCAGACATTTTATAGATGGGACATCTATTAGATAATTTATTTTATAGATGGGACATCTCATTGATGAGTCATTTTATAGATCGGCCATTTCTTAAATCGAAAATTTCAGAGCCAAAGATCGTTGTTACATACATATTTATATTTTTAAACCATTCTTTTCGAAAGTAATAAAATCTAAGAACGTTTATACATCAGGTTGAAGATTTTCATTTACAAAGTTAAAGTGTTTCTGTCATTGTAGACATTGCAAATATAAACCTTACAAAATCTCTAAATTTTTCTCTTTTAAAAGAGACTGTAAGTGTAATTTCAAGGGACTCTACATGCAAAAATGGCAATGCCGGATCCCCAAGGATACTTGGGAGTGACCGGCAACGTATGTAGCTGAACAGAGAATTTAGTATTGTGGAGAAATTTTTTAGTATTTATTTGATACTTTTTGGTTGGTCACGTTTTGAGAATCGATTTTTTCAAATTTATTAAATAACTATGACAAAAAACAAATTTTAAAAATTCTACAGTAAACTAATTAGATGTTTAAGAACATATTTCTTAATTGAAATTTTCTCAATAAATCAATGTAAGAATCAGTTCATTATTTTCATCATTAAATTTACTTTCTTATTTTTTATGAATTTGTTTGCAGAATTAATCGAATTCTTCAAATGTCGTCAATGCAATAAAAATTCCAGGAAATCTACAGAAAAAGTTTGTGAAGAATGCGACATTACAGAAGCCAATATATGAATAAGATTACTTATTTTCGATGATAAGAATTAATTTTTATTTTCTCAACCTGTTCCTCAACAACTAGTTAGTTTACTGTAGAATTTTTAAACGATTCTCAAATTCATCCTTAAAAGTTGTCACTGTTGATTTCGAGATTACAAAAGTTTTGATTTATTGTGTTCAGTGTTTTTTCGAGAAAAATTTAACTCGAATTCTGAAAACCTTAATCCTTCCGTCGCGCATTCGTTAAAAAATTGCAATTCCTAATCGAAAATTTTTTATTCTATAACAAAATTTGGAAACCCTAAATTTTAAAGATGTTTATTTTTATTTATTTATAAATAGCTTAATAGGTGTTTTTACCAAATTTCCTTGAAAAAGTTAATGATCTTCTAATTTGAGGCCAATCGTCGTTTTTATCAGAAATCCATTAATTTGAATTTGTTGAAAAAAAAACGAAACATGAATCTCTACAAATTAAAAAATTTTATCGAACGTAAAATAGGTTAATCAAAACAAAATTAAATCATGATTAGTCCCTTTTTCTTGCTTTATTTCTTCCTTTAAAAACCAATGTCACATGTGATTTAAAGGTCTCACGTTCTCAAGCAAATTACTTCTTAAAAACTAAAGCTAACAACATGCGCCATGTCTTAAAAATAGATTAGACATATATTAGATATATTTTCTTTAAAAAATCTAATTTTTGGGAAATTTTTTCATAGTTTTAAGTTCTAATTTTAAGATTCAATTGCAATTTATTTCATTTTCATCTCGGAAAAAAATTCTCACCACTTTTTGTCGATGACAATAAAACGAAATGAAAAATTATCAAATGTTAATTATGAGTCACAGCAATTGATATTGAATAATGCAAGTATATGAGCAATATTTGTGAGTTCACCGTGGTCCATGACTGAATAAACTGATAAAGATTCCAGGTCCATACTGATATAGATTTCAGGTATACTGTTCTCAAGTTCTGATGTAACATTTATACGTTTATAATATTAGGGAGCCAAAAAAATTGAAAATTTTCACTGCAATCTGCAACCTTAAAGACGATTTTTTCATGATATTTTAATTTAATTGTGAAAAATTCTTTTAAAACTGAATGAAAGCGATTGAAAAGGCAAAATAAATTTTATTTTTTTCTCGATAGTTTGGATGTAACGCAAAATGACCAAAATGTGTGGGACTCACATTGCTTATAACTTGACTTGACAAAACTTTTTATTTTAAGAAAATATCTGAATACTCACTGTACCCTAGCATATATATATTATATTTATATTATATATAATATGGCAACCCTATGAAATTGATAAGCTGCTAGATATATATATCATATATGTGTGTAAATAGCTAGATAAGTTTTTATGTATATCGTATATAAATATATTAGCAAGAGAACTATAACACATTGGATTTATTAAACACAATAGTATAACAATGAAATCTTTTGGAGCTCCGAACTTTTGTGCTATTTTTGTGGGACAAACTGTAGGAAAGCAGTTTTATACGCCATTTTGAAAAAAGAAAAGTTGAAGGAATTTACTCTTGTCCACCCCTGTTTAATGATATTTACTCTTGTCCACCCCTGTTTAGTGATATTTACTCTTGTCCACCCCTGTTTAGTGATATTTACTCTTGTCCACCCCTGTTTAGTGATATTTACTCTTGTCCACCCCTGTTTAGTGATATCCCCTGTTTAGTGATATTTACTCTTGTCAATCCCCTGTTTAGTGATAAATCTGTTCTGTTTATATATATGTAATAATTATAGTAAAAACCCTAATTCACATGACTTGTTTATATACCTATGTTTGTTGATCTCGGAACAGACCTATCGGTCAGTTTTATATTTACCTGTATCATTAAACCTAAAATATATTCAGTTGGATTGAAGTCTCTTTGATTATGGTCAGAAGTATTAGTTCTCAGTAGAGAGTATAAAGTTTGAAAGAGTTGTGTGTGGATTGATACACACTTAAAGAAATATTGGAGTAAGGCATTTATTACATATAAATTCTTACCACACCGCAAAAGGTTTTATTGTTATTTGTCCCTTTAATATCTTATATTTCCACTCTATCTTGTTTAAATAAAAGATAATTTAGTTTCAACTAAACTCGAATCTTCTTTCCTTTTATCTTTGTAACCTGATAGTTTAAACCTTTAATATTTCAAACTTGGACTTTAGATCTTACAGAGTTCATTGTTTGAAATATCTAAGGTTTATGACATCGTGGGTTGCAAAGATATAGAGATTATAAATTTAGAGTTTGTGACCAGAACTCAGTTTAATATAGTTTTTTGTCAATTACATATTTAAGATTTCAGTTCATTTATTCACCAGCAATATTTGATTGTTAAAAGGTTAATTACACTTTTCACATTCATAGTTTAGATCAAAATATATATTTTTTCCAGGTATACTAGAGATACGTAGTATACGTTTATTTTTACAGCTTGATAGAGTATACCTAAACATCTAGAGTATACCTAAACATCTAGAGTATACCTAAACATCTAAAGTATACCTAAACATCTAGAGAATATACCTAAACATCTAGAGTATACCTAAACATATAGAGTATACCTAAACATCTAGATTATACCTAAACATCTAGAGTATACCTAAACATCTAGATTATACCTAAACATCTAGATTATACCTAAACATCTAGAACATTCATAGTATACAGCTACAAATCTAGATTATACGTAAACATCTAGAGTTATACCTAAACATCTAGATTATACCTAAACATCTAGATTATACCTAAACATCTAGAGTATACCTAAACATCTAGATTATACCTAAACATCTAGAGTATACCTAAACATCTAGAGTATACCTAAACATCTAGAGTATACCTAAACATCTAGAGTATACCTATACATTCAGAGTATACCTCAACATCTAGAGTATACCTAAACATCTAGAGTATACCTAAAAGGCGTCAAACATTACAGAAATCCAACGCATAGAAACCGCTAGGTAAAGCAGCAATGCGTATTTTGCTGGAGAATATTTTTATATTTTTGAGAAATTAAATAATCAATGTAAGTAGCTATAATTTTCATAAAATCCTTTTATTTAAATGGTAACACGGAATTTTATGAAATCATATTAGCATTACTGGAGAGCTTTATTTTATATATTTGTGAATTTTTTTATTTGTAAAAATAAAACTGTACATATCCTTTTCTTAAAATAGTTTTTTTAAAAGTAACACGCAATTTTATGAAACCACATTCACCACATACGCATTCATTTATGTTGTCAGTAGTCAGTACATAATAAAATCTGGGGAGACCTTAAACACAATAGAGAGCAGTACAAATGTACATATTAATCTAGTTAGTTGTATAGTGTCTAGGGTATGTTAAAAAAAGAGAAATAATGATAATGATAATAAGCTAAAATGTTTAACAAAAACGTTTAATTTCTCAAAAATATAAAAAAATTGCTATACCTAGCGATTTCTATATACGTTGGATTTCTATAATGTTTGACGCCTACCTAAACATCTAGAGTATACCTAAACATCAAGAGTATACCCAAACATCTAGAGAATATACCTAAACATCTTAAGTATACCTAAACATCTTAAGTATATACCCAAACATCTAGAGTATACCTAAACATCTAGAGTATACCTAAACATCTAGAGTATATACCTTTGTTAACCCTTAAATGTTACAACGAATTCGTCCGATGATATAGAAAGCATTCTCAACTGTCGAGGATCTGCTGTCGTCTTCTCTGCTTCAAGAGTTCTAAAATAGTTTTAAAAGATTAATTTTTAAAGAATTTATTTTAATTCTTAATTTTTAGCAACTGCTCGTCAAGGTTAAAGATTGTGAAATCATAAAACAAATCAGAATTGAATTTTTTAGGTTTATGAATAATTGAAATATAAAAAGTCGAATATAAATCAATTTGGGAATTCATTAATAAAAAAACGTAAATTCGCAATTTTGTTTATTATCGTTAAATGTGCGAAAAAGAAAAACGTCAGATCAGCGAGAACAAAGCTAAGATTACAAAGCAATGGGAGCACAAAGCGTCCTATCTATAAACTGGACTATATTCAAAAACAACCGAATTAGGTCTGTTTCAAAATTTGAATTTTCCCTAAAGTTAGAAAAGATTATATTGTGCTAAAAGAATCTTTAATTGAAAATAGTTGGAACATGTGTTATACCTAAATTAAATTCGAAAATACTTATATTTTTCAATTGTGATCATAATTTGATAATTTTATAACAAAAAATAAAAAATGCAAAAAAAACTTTATTTATATTTTTAGAATTCATTGTTTTTATGGATCCGGAATCTGAACTTGCAATTATACGAAATTCATCAAGACTACCAAAATAAAAATCTTTTTATAACTATAGACAGGGTGTCCCACGAAACATGACAGTTGGTGAATAGTTTAAAATGTCTTCTTCCATAATTTGTTAAGTTGTTTGATACCAAAGATGATTATAAGAAAACTAAATGGCGGTAATATTATAGAAAAATTGATTTCAAACAAATATAAATTTAAGTAAAAAATTTGCTTAATGAAATAAACTGCAAAAAATCTTAAATAACTGATGCAGCATATGAAAGAAGACATTAAAAACTATTAACCTACTGTCATGTTTCGTGGGACACCCTGTATTTGTCTTACTATTTGTTCATTATTAAAACAAAAGAACAAGATGTGTATTTTTAGTCCTTTGAACACTTAATATTCCTGGTGCAGGGTGAACAGTTCCTTGAACACTGAATATACCTGGTGCAGGGAGAACAGTCCCTTGAACACTGAATATACCTGGTGCAGGGTGAACAGTCCCTTGAACACTGAATATACCTGAATATACCTGGTGCAGGGTGAACAGTCCCTTGAACACTAAATATACCTGATGCAGGGTGAACAGTCCTTTGAACACTGAATATACCTGGTGCATGGTGAACAGTCCCTTGAACACTGAATATACCTGATGCAGGGTGAACGGTCCCTTGAACACTAAATATACCTGGTGCAGGGGGAACAATCCCTTGAACAATGACTAGTGAATATACCTGGTGCAAGGCCGGAGTATTCTACTTTTCAAACTTGGAATGACTCCTTCTCCCTGAAAAGAAATATTAACATAAGACACGGTGGTCAAACTTTTGTTTTATGAATCTCGTGATCAACATTGATCTCCATCTTATGCAGATCTAATAATAAATTTAGACCCTCTTCAATATCCTGTGATGGTCATATCATGCAGGGATAACTTTCATGGAGGGATTAAGCATTTAAAAGTTCCCACATTAGATATCGAGATCAAACATTTAAGATCAACAATATCCACACAAAAGTTACGATCTCTCTTGTTTAATAACAACAATAGTCAGAACATACCTAGATCGAGTTAGTTTCGCATGATAAAAGATAAAATATTTAAGGGTTTTGACGGAAAAACAGAATGAAACTGTTTTGTTCAATTTGATTTTAAATATTTTATCCAATTTTTGTTCGTCCAATTAAAACTGTAGTTCAGTTCCTTCTTTAAATCCAATTTAAAATTTCCGTACTTCTTAACTTTTTGATCCGCTCGATTCTACATTTTTCTTTCTTGTTATATAATCCAATCCCTGCAGATTTAATCTTGAAGTTAATGTTTTATGTTTATTCAACGTTTAAAGTAAAATATGTAAAAAATGGAAGACGACATCAGATATACACGGACAGAAAGGAATGAAGGATACATACCGGACAGCATTCTGAGCAAAGAGCTATTCCTAAAGATAGGATGGTCACCATCACAGCAATAACCCAGATATACCTGAACTTATAGATAGTGTATTCTTCGACCTACGCAAATCCGCGAAACTCCACTTAGGACCTACGCCAAATCCTAACCTAACCCTCAAATAATACAAAAATAAACAGCTGGCGTAGGTTCGATATTGCAGTAGGTCGGAAAGTTAGTGGTTCAGAAGTTCAGTAGGGGGGATGTTGCGTATAGACGATGTAACATTACCGAAATTATATAATATGATATATGTCGTCTTTTTTTGTTCTTTTTCTAAAATATTCAACTGCAAATTTTGCAATAAATAACGCGAAACGTTATATACTAATGATTTGTTTAATGTCCCGTGTACATTTTTACAGTTGTAGGGAGGCAAGATATGTTGAAAAATGTACTTAAAAGTTCACAAGATTCAGGGTACAATGGCCCAAACATAACCAACAATTTTGGGAAGACTTTAAATACCAAAATCTTACAGAGTATGTTAATACTGTCCATTTATAAAAATATCAAATTTTCTTTTAACTTTGTTAGAGCCATGTGCCAGAGTCAAATTAAAAACATTATTTTTAAAATGTCATTGAATAAAAATTGTCATTCATCAAGATCGAAAGGCAAGTGCCATGCTAACTTGAAATTTGCT